GTATCAGTTTGCAGAAATATTATTTGTACGAATAACTTTTAGTAATAGACATTAGTTTCAGAGTGAGCGATGAAGTATCAGTTTGCAGGAATATTATTTGACGAATAACTTTTAGTAATAGACATTAGTTTCAGAGTGAGCGATGAAGTATCAGTTTATTTATAAATTATAATTTCATATCTTTAATGTAATATATTGCTGTTCATGTCAAATAAATCGATGGTAAACTGCAACATAGTAAAAACGATCATGTTTGGATCACTTATCGTAAACTACAACATTGTAAAAACGATCATGTTTTGATCACTTATTGAAACTTGATTTAAATAAAGGTGTACTTTAGAAAATGTGTACATTTCTTTGTTTCCAGTAGAGGCATAAGTGATCAAAACATGATCGTTTTTACAATGTTGTAGTTTACGGCATTCACACCCTGTCTGTGAAGTAACATCGCCCCATTTGATTAAAACTTTGAACACCTAACAGCCCTCCAAATCCCAGTTATTTCCAAGCCTGAGGAGTTTTAGCACAACTCCACGGACTGCCAAATGAGGATTAAGTGTTCTTTATGATATAGTAGTCGCATAACCTATTCTAGTTATTCAAGCAGACTTGCTAAGAGCAGAATTCATCTCCACTCATCCAGTAGTGCACGTCAACAGAATATGTAATGGGATGTAATTGGTTCAAAAGTCGTCTTCTTCGACTTCATATTTCAACAATGTTTGTAGTAAGTTTTGTATTCTGATATTATATAGTACGTGTGCAGTGAGAATTCATGAGATTACAAGGTTGCCAGTCGAAGTATGTTGAGACGATTTATATATATATATATATTTGAAAAAGCTGCTATTAAGCAAATAATATTTAATAACTTTTTAGAAGGAAATTTTTAAATGTCAGCGGTTAAAACTGAGATTTTTTTCTGTTCAGAGTTCCTAAGTAAGAGTTTGGTTTGTTTTTGTTTTTCCCGTATTTTGTTTACTTCTATTCCAACGAATGTAGCTAGCAGTCATCTCAAAGTTCACTTAAGTTGTTCTACCATGTAGTCTCCAGTGCGTCAGTGATAATGTTTACGGATTTGCAACGCTAAAATCTGGGATTCGATTCCCCGTGGTAGACAGAGCGCAAATAACCTATTATGTACCTAAAACAACTAAAGAGACCTCCCATTATAATGGACCACAAAGTTTACGTAGGTGTTTAACAATCTAATTTGATCGCAACGTTTGTGTGTGTTGTCAAACAACGTAAAATAGCTTATAAAAGTTTATCTGGTGTTTAACATGTAAAGGCGAGAAAGAAGTACAGCTACGTTATCTACCATTATAAAATATACCATAAAACGTTTATATGAGTTGTCCAACAACGTGAAATAGTTGGCGTAGTTTATCCGGCTTAGCCAAAACTGTAAATTAGGTAAGACAATTTTTGAATTATCCAACAATGTAAATAGATATCGAATTTTATCTGGACGTCTAGCATGTAATATATATATATATATCAATTATTTACCAACCTAACATTTATTACAAAGTTTAATGATTTTTTAAACGATGTACCATATAAATATGCAAAACTGTATGGTTAAAAAATAAGCATTAAAGAAAGTAAGGCACTAGACAGATAGATTCCTGTTAGTCATGGTTCACAAATATCCCTTATGTCTGGTATTAAGGTAGAAATTTCTTCAGGGATTCAGTGTCAAAGTATAATAAAAAATCAATGTTTCTAAATTACTCTGAAAATATATATACTCTTGTTAAAAGGAGTTATTATTTACTTGCTAATCTTAGAAGAAGCAAGCACTCTTGTGTTTTGATAAGTTAGTTTCTAATTCACAGCAGAGGCAGATAGCACATTTTCTGTCAAGAATGACAATCGCTCTGCACGAGTCCAGCAGCTATTAATTCAAGGTTTGATGAACTTTGTGATAGAAATTGAACAAACAAAAGCAAGAATAGTTTACGAAGAAGCGTTCCGACCTTGTTTTCATTTGAATTTAAACAATCTATTGGAAAGGGGAGAGAGTTAAATGAAGGAATTATCTAATGAATGTAAATGTTTATATCCAGTATATGGAAACCTGTGTTCATGTTGATAAAAACAAAGCTTGTGTTAGAGAGTGCAAACGTTTATGAAACAAAGCCTAAGTCTTTGAATGTACATATATAAATTTAAAAACAAACTTGTGTTAGAGAATACAAACGTTTCTCTAAACAATCAGGTCTCGAAGAACATAGAAAATTGGGAAATAAAGCTCTCAAGAATCAAGCAGTTCGTTGAACAACATATGAGTCATAGAACCTCATAATGATATTTTTTTTCCTTAACTGAGATATGTCACATGAACAAAATTTGTTTAAAATAAAAAAAACTTAAAGCAAAAATGCATCGTAATAAAAGCTTTAGTAAATGTTTTTCAATGTAAAGTATCAAAGTGTATGTTTATGTTAGTGTGACGTTTTCGAGTGTTCTTTCTCTCCAGTTAATGGTTTGTTTGGCTCTTAATAAAAAAAATGTACGTAACTAATCCTACATACATAATGGACTCTAATATGGAAACAACTGAAGTTCACATTCTAATAGACCGTCTTCTATATCCCCACATCTTCATGTAATTATCCGGATCAGACGTATATCTTAATGGTGGATTCAAACAGCAGAGCTTAACGCCAATGGAAAATAAATATTTATTATATTTTCTTTCTGAATTTGGCTTATAAAATTGACAAATAATAAATGTGCTCATGCCAATCTCTTATTTGAACCAAAGTAAGAAGTAACAAAGTTATATCTAGTGTAGAATGTATCTATCTGGATATTCTCCTTTCTTTGAAAAACAATAACAAAAAACATTATTATTAAAAAAAAATAATTTATATTTTAAAATCCTTCTTGTGTTATACATCATTCTCGTTAAGCTTATAAACTTGAAATGTATTACTTTTTATCATAATATATATATGATTATATTATACCAATTTAATATTTTTAAGAGATTGAACGATTATTTTTATTAAGCAAAATCGTAAAGAATGAACTAAGTTAGAGTATAATAATTCATGTAAAGATGGTGCTCCAATCTGCAGTCACCATAGTTTTATCTGTAAAATACACATAAGTTGTAACTTCCAATGTGAACCCTCTTGAAGTGTTTATTAATAAAGACTGACCAAAGAAAGCTACCTATATAAGTTAGAACTAAAATTATTTAGATAATATAGTTAATTTAATATATACTTCTCTTACTAGGACAATGTAAGGCTATAAAGCAAAACGTATAGTGATTAGAATGTCCATCGTAAAGGGGGAGGGTAAATAAAGGAATAATCTAGTGAGTGTAAATGTTTGTAAAAAGTGTATGTAAACCTGTATTCATGGTGATAAAAACAAAGCATATGTTCGAAAGTACAAAGCTAAAGCCCTTGATTGTATACATAATTAAAAACAAAAACAAACGTGTGTTATAGAATACAAACGTTTATTTAAAACAAGTCTTACTTACCATAGATCTAATATATATATAACTTGCTTTCCCTGTTTTTTATCAGCTGTTTACCCTCGATTACGCGAATAAGGGTAGTCCTAAACAGCCTTCATAATAAATATATATTTGTTTAAATATAATAAATGAAATATGTATATATACACACTAAACGTTTTATCCACAGCTGTTAAACAAAGTAACACTAAAGAAGGAATGTAATATAGCTTTTCTTGGGTTTGGTATGGACTGGTGGATAGGGCGTATGACTCGCAATCTACGAATAACGGAATCGAAACCTACCGCCAAACGTGTTCGTCCTTTCAGTTATGGGGGCGTTGTAATGTTACGGTCAATATTTGTTGGCAAAAGAGTAGCCCAAGTGTTGGCAGTGGGCGGCGTTGACTAGCTGCCTTCCCTCTACTCTATCACTTCAAAATAACGATGGCTAACATAGATAGCCCTCGAATAGCTTTGCGCGAAAATTGGACAATCAACCAAACAACATTACTTGTAAGACTCATAAAAACTATTTGTTTGCCACATACTATCACTGATCCCCTGTCTCTTGAGAAGTTAACATCCTTACACTGTTTACGACCTCACATAGCTACCTTATGTTGCAGTTAACACAAAACCATAATTTTGTGTGAAACATGTAATACAAATACTTGAAATGCACCAATCAAAACGAGTTCATGCAATGAAAGAGATTAACAATATCGATTATGAAAAAAAGTTGGAAAGTCGCTCTTCTGGTCACTTTGCTTAAAAACATCTGGAAATGTTTAATAACTTTCCCCAAGGTTAGGCTTAGACAACGCCGTTAGCAAATCAATGAGGTTTTACTTTTATTCATTTTTTGTTATCATTGTATAGGTAATAAGCGAGAATTTGTTTATGTTTTTGTTGTATGTGTGTTTTGTATTTTACGTTTCAGGCTTGACCTAAAATATTACGTATATGAAATTTGTTTTCATTAGAAGAGACCAGAAAGTTCTTGCCAATGCTTTCAACATCAATGTTATATTCAGTCAAGATTATAAACGTCAAACTTAGAGTCTTTCAAAAGATTCAGCATTTCAATAATTTTCACGAGAAAATTATTTCTTAATTGGAAGACTTTGTTCTTCCCTACATCTACTCTTTTCGTCCGGATTTTTCGTGTTTTTCTTTTAATATTTGTTTTCAAGCTAGATCAGTATTATAGGTACGCAAATTGAATAATTTTGAATGTATGTCAAAATCTAAGTACAACTGACTCCAGAACCAACGTATTTATGAACAACTTTGGATGCTTTATCTTCATCAAGATGTCTTTATTTCTGTTTCAATACATCGCATAATTCGATTTTGGTTAGGGAATATCGTCATGCATAACAATACACAAAATTATACGTTTGTTTTAGGTACTATTTTTAGGTTTGAACGTACTATTAAAGAAACATCATTTAAAAAATAAACTTCTATTTCAAAAGGATTGAGCAAATTACGTAATTAAATCAAAGTAAAAATATAATGGTTATCAAATAAAATTAATAATAATAATCGGACAACCTCTATCTCTGTTTATTCTTGGTATTCAATTAATAGTGCTTATGTTTGCTCTCAAAGAAACCAACTTTAGAATTATAACGTCACTGCGAGCTGGTAGACAGTATTTTTAATAAATAAAGTTCTTTAATTCTAGTAATAAATAACCTCATAACACCAAATTTAATTATTTTATTTAATTTGACATTCAACTTAAAGCAAATTGGTGTTATAAAGTCGTTTATTTCCCCTAAAGGGAACCAAAGGCCGCCTCGAGGGGGTCACCTGTTTTAACCATTCGCACTACTGTACAGTAATGTGTTGTCTGTAAGTCGGTCAGTAGACACTAAAATGACGTCACATAAGGGACGCTTAACACTGCAGTTTGTCCTATCATGCCATGAATCACGAGAAGAATCATTCACTCTGTAGGCTACAGCACAGCATGACATATAAACTTCAAAAACAAGAACAAAAATATTTTTTACTCTTAATTTGGGTTTTATTTACGCTTGAAACAGAACATTTTCGGTGATCCTGCGGGAGTACATCAAGCTACTAGAATTAAAATGTCTTTTGTATTACAATAAATATTACAATAAACACTGCAGAAATTAAATGATAAAGTTCTTTGTTTACTTACTGCTTTACACTGATGTTTTTCTGAAATTCTAGAGCGTAATGTTTGATGTAAAACTTTTTGTCTTAGG